AATATAGTGTAATAAATGATTTAAATTTCCTTTTTAAATTTATTCTTATCATGTCATTATTAGTAGCTTTTTGATATTCTGTAATTATTAAATAAAAAGCAGCAGATATTATTACACCAGTCTTAAAAGAATTCTTAATTCTGAATGGATGTTATTGTATGTATTAAATCCAATCAGAATTAGGAATTCTTTTAAGACTGGTGTAACAATATTTACTGCCTAAATGATGCAAGTATTGTTTTTTATTCAAAAATATAACAATTAAAAATTAATAGAATTCTAGAAAACTGGAAATTGATATTAGCTATTTCAATCAAGAATGTATCAATTTTAAAATTACTAGCTTCGTGAATGAATGTGCACATAACATCTACTTTTACGAGCAGGAAGTGATCCCCAATGGTTGGCTATTAGTTTGCAATGCTGACAGAAAGCTGTTTAACGGTCACCAGAAACGATGGCCTAGCGTCCACTCTAACTTTTGAGTGACAAGGGAAATGCCAAGGATCGTGATTGGTTATCGGCTTGAAATGTACGATATCTTGTGTCGTAATTTTTTACAACTAGTCAAGCTCTACAGTATCCACAATAGCTTGTGGGAATACATCTCTGATTTGACCAAATATGGACATGATAATGTCACATTATATCCATATATGGGCAAATCACATGTATTTCTCTGTGGATATGATGGAACACTGATGTCTACTCTGTGTTCTAATATAAACTTGAATTTAAAAGCAGTTTTGAGGTTGGTTGTTTTTTTACAAAATGGTGTGTGTATATATCAGTATGTCTGTCAGCGTGGATATGTAGTTCTTTGGCGTGTTTGTGTCTATTCTGCAACTGCATAAACTATGATCAAATAACCACAAGGCCACTTAGCTGAGATGAGAGGTAATAGTATTTCTTTGCCATCAGCAAAACAGACAATAATGAGAAATTAGGTTACAAATAATCAATCATCATTCATAGTACTGTATTGTTGTAGGAAAAGTGCATTAAGCAATTGTATCTATTTTTTATATCAATACTAAGTAGATGGTTTTTGTTACTATGGCGATAATCATCCATGTTGGAAGACTAATCAATGATATGATGATATGTGATGTATTAATCATAAATGTTTTATACAAGTACTAAACATTTAGGCTATGTGTCACGACACCTGAGCTGATATTTATTCAGTCTGTATATAAGCATTTTTGTTTTTTCAGTAATTGTTTTTTTGTTAGCACTGATGATGCCTGTAGGAAACAGGGGAAATAAGTTTGCAAATAAATGGTTTATTTTGTTAAAATTAGTGTTCATCTTGATTTTGCTTCAATATTTCGGTTCTATTATTCATGATTTAAGTTGCCACCGTGATGTTAGCACTTGTCAGAATTGAGAAAGCTAGAAAAACTATTCAAGAAAGAATGTAAAGGAGAAGCTGATTTGAATTTTCTTAACAATTGTAAGCAATTCAGCAATTACCCCAAGTTTACAATTTATCATTTTTTAAACATTTCATTTGCATCCAACTGCAAGTAACTCACCAATTACAAGGTGGACGATGCTATTTAAACCAAGTCTCAGATGAAAGTGTATGCCCATATATAATCATGATGTGCCTATATATGGTTATGATGTGATATCACAGGGGCGTACCGTGGGGGGTGGGGGTTGATAGAGACAGACCGTGGGGGGTCGATGGGTGCGGTCGACCCCCCCCTTTTAAAGAAAGTGCCCTTTAAATATGCTCGCTTCACTCATAAATATTAACGCACCCCGCGAATTCTGAAAGCTTCGCTAAATTGCTCCGAGTTCAGCTTCCCCCTGCGCTTTCGTTTCGACCCCCCCCTTAGATTTTTTACCGTACGCCCCTGTGTCATCATGCACATATTTAGACATGTCACATGTTTTGTCAAACCACAAAGCTTTTCAACTTTCAACCCTCCCCCTCCCCGCTTGAATCTGCCACTGGAATGCCACATGATATGAATTTGATACAAAACAAATTGTACAAATATACAAGATTTGCAAATAAATGTAATTGTAACAATAACTATGATACCAAGAAACAGTAATAACAAAAAATATTGAAAAAATATTAATACAATACTTCATATATAAAAAGATTATATAGCCATTCTTTAATGTATCTAGTATTATTTTTGAATTTTTAACGTTTTAAATGGAATTGCTTCAGTTACATCAGTTATGGTATAATACTTTACTTATAATGGTGTTATGAAAAAAAAAATGTTTTGTTTCGAAAAAGCATTGGCTTTTTCAGGCACCATAATTCTTCCCTCTGAAAAAAAAATTATAATAGCGAGATCATTTTCATTATTGCTTTTAGCACTCAACATGGTATCGTAAATCAATAAATGACCATGTTTCCCTTTAACATAAACTAAATATACTGGTAGTTGAAACCCTTTGTGAAAAACAATTAAAAATCCATAATGCATAAAAATCTCGTTCAAATTTGTATTTTCTACCCACTCAAAGTAAAAAAAAAAAATGTTTTAATGCAAATACCAAAAACTTTTTTACCTCAATAAATTGTAAATACATATCAACAATAACATTTTATATTTGAATTGTTTTAATAAGTTGTTGACTTTCAATTAAATAGCAAATTAAGTAAAATAATGTTCTTACTAATAACGGATGCATAAGTAATACCTTATTTACTTTTAGATACTACTCAAAGAAAAATTATTTCATTTAAACTACCCCCACCACCATTTCTTTTTCATGTAACAATATAAATTTATTGATATTGTTAACTACCTGCTCTACTTATCCAAATGTTCATTAAACTGCGGCATTATTGTTCACGTAAAATTAAACCTTTAATTAAGCTGTATGTCTTAAGAGCAATGCAACAGTCAGATTTTAAATTGAAAAATAAAACCAGCGAGCAATAAATTTCCAATTTACATGGAGTCTTTCGCAACACATTTGATGTATGTGGGATCAGTTCTGGAGTCATCATGATGTGAGAGGGTTAAACCTTCGTAGCTGCATGACATTATACCCTATGCCTGTGATTAATATACATGCTATTAATAAACACAATTTAATGGGATATTAATTATCATTACGGGGACCCCCAAGAGTGTTGCTGTAATATATTCATTATACAGCCGTTATAAACATGACTGTGGGATAGATATTATTTTTAAAAGATAATAAACAACATTATAGAAAACTAAAATAATAAGTTTTGCAAAATATGGATAAGATTTTATTTTTTTAGAAAATCCTCTTATTACTTAAAAGAGATATGCATTTTCATTGATTTATTTATGTTTCTATATTTTTAACATCATTTTGTGTCTTTGTAAATACCATTATTCCACACAAAAATCAAATTTTAAAATTGTGAAATTTGTAATATCGTTTGTAGTTTACAAAAAGAAAATTCTCCAATTGTTTATTTTATAAATATAGACTAAATAAAAAGAATTTGAATGTTTGTAAACTAGAGCTAGCAGTTACTTCAAAGTCAATTTAATACAGGTTTGATGAATTATTTAAGAAGCAATACAGACAGTATATTTTTGAAGTTGATATTACTATTTATTTTGTTGATCAATCAATCAATTCATTGGAATCATTTTTTAGACTGTTGCACATGAACACTCAGTGCATCCAAGGTAACATGGAAAAACATCTGGTGTCTTGCTATGAAAATATTATTGGATGAAATGTACCTAGTTAGATTTGTAATCTTCCACATATTTTTCTTCCTCTTGTTCAAGTATTTTTTTGGCAATCTTGCTCTCGCATCAGATTCATTTATTTAGTTAATTGTAGCATAGGATAGCTAGCTATTGGGACAGTTGGGACGGTCCCACACAATTTTTCTAGTGGGTTCACAAAGAATGGGTCCACATTTTAAAAAATGGATCCAAATTATGCAATTTCATGCATAAAATGGGTCCACTTTTTGAAAAATGGGTCCAGATTCCTCACATTTAGCTTAAAATGGGAAAAATTTAAGAAAATGGGTCTAGATTTTTCATATTTTTGCGTATTAAAAATGGGTCCACATTGTTTGAATTTAAGCGTAAAGTGGGTCCCACACTGTTTGAAAATCCTGGCTACGGCATTGATAGATAGATATCGCATTCTACTAGAGCTCCTGTGCATACTGTTCCCATTAGCCCCAAACTTTTGGGGCTATCGAAGCATTTGGTTCTTCTGCTTTTATGCTGTTTTCTTTGCAATATTAGCAGGGGCGGATCCAGAGATGTCCGAAGCGGAGGAGAGGACGAACACTAACCTAGGGGATCCAGCATGCCCCACAAAACTTTTGTTTTCCAGACGCTCGGAAATGGCTTTTGAGGCGTTTTGAGTGATCAGTAATTCTTTTTCTTTACTTTCCAAAAGGCCAGGCTCGGCCCCTCCCTCTAAGTCAGCCCCTGATATTCAAATATTTCATGGTTATGTTCACGTAAATCAACTTTCTTGTATTATGTGCTATAAATCTTATTATTATTATTAAATTATTCATATGGCCATAGCCACTCAACACCTAGTTTGTTGAGTAGCTATTTGGCTCCTTTGTCTGGAAAAACAACCCTCTATGTAGATCGGTCATTGGCTAACACCTTCAATTCTGGATCTTGATGTGCCAAGTTTAAAGATAGTTTTAATAAATAGAAATTAAGGAATAATTTAGATGTAATAACCAGGGTATAATGAGCATTTCTCTCTCACTTTCAGTTTGTATTTTGGTACATCTCTGATTTTTGCAATTTGAGAAATTGTTCAGATTACATTGACATTTTGTTAGGTCAGCCTACAATTAATTTTAATATTTTTTGTATTCATTATTAATGCAGCTGGGCAAAGGATTACCAATAGTAAACTTAATCCCAGATAATTATTTTCACAACACAAACATACACGCAAGATTTTTTACATAAACCAAGCCTACATCCCCAGAAAGGATTTTAAATCCTGAGGGGAACTAACATTTTATCCAAGGAAATTAAGCTTACCTTAAATGAGATAACTGCATGTGAGAAGGGGGTAGAAATGCAGGGTGATATGGATAGCCTGCAGGAAAAACCGATGTACCGGTTGGATCATACTGCATGTGAGTAGGCGGCAGGGCCTTGTGAAGTTCTTCAGCATGACGGTAGGGGTGAAATCCCCTAGGCACCTCATCTGGTGTTGATGCCAGTTGAGCCACAGGTCTAAGATTCAAAAGCAAAGAAATATTTTGAAAATGTAAAATTTTTATATTTCTAAATTATTTGTTTTGAATGACACATTAGCTAGAAGGATAAATACTTTAAACATCCCTCCCCAAAATTGTCACTGTTTATACAATAATGAAATTTTAATTGTACTGACACATATACAATAAGGGGTTACAAAGGTAAAATGTACGTAGAACATGGTACTGGACACAAAGTTATGCAGGTGAAGTAATTGACAAATTATGTGATCAATTTGTTGAAAGGAAAATAAGTGGGGGGGGGGGAGGTGTAAGGCGAGGAGGAGAAAGTGGTAGGTTAGATTCCATAGGCCTTATCGAGCAAAAGTGGTGTAAACAAATAAGTGAATGGTCAATTTCAATCGCTTTTCAAACTGTCTTCTTAACAACAACTATATAGTGTCGATCACAAGAAGGCAACAATTTTTTTATGTATTTTGTACATCATTACCTGAAGCAGGTCACCCCAAGTAACTTGCTATATAACTCTATGATAAAGCTGTTTGCAAATCACCCTCAACCTACACGGTCAGAATTTCTACCTGCCGCGCATACTAACGACCCGTTTAGAATGTTAAACAACATGGCAAGTAACATAACATTTCAGGCTTGCTGTGAGATTAAGTTATGAATACTGACAGAATATAAATATTTATTCTAAGTTGCGCCTGATTTTATTTGAGAAATATATCGGCAAAGAGTATTAAGTCCTAGTTTAGGTCAAGTTCCAAAATAAAAATTGGGTACAACAGTTGCCTGCATCTTAATTTGACAAGGTTTTGGAGATTTGATATCAAAGTTGAAGTGAAATGTGTTAATGTACACAAAGTAGAAACACAGCACACATGCTTGAAGGTACAATAGGCATCATCCAATGAGATGGCTGTGAACACGAATTACATGCATGGAAGGCAAATTATTCTGATAAAGTAAAGTGACGAACTTTTCATCCCACCTATGCGGGCCGGCCGAACTGTCCTTGCTGTTCCACAACGAGCTGTGAATGGCGTGTGACGAGCTGGAGTGCGATGACTCCGACGGTGGCCGCATATGATGCCTTTCGCTTGATGCTGGTCGTCGATGGTGATGATGATGTTCATGCTCCTGTTGAAAAAAAAAAATAACAACATTAAACTAATGCGTGATAGTTAATTACGCTTGAAGGTGTTAACATTGTTTTTCATTGCATGAAATAATGAGCAATTGACAATGATACAATTGCACTTTGCAAATGAGGAAAACAATTGTTAACCTTGATGCATCTAGAGTAAGGTTAGTACAAAGTAGTTTGCGGGGATATACAGTATTTATATATTGGAATTATGTGTCTATAACAATGTGTGCAAGTGTGTATGGGAATAATTTCAAGTCTGTATGAAAATGTGTATGAGGATATGAACGAGGGTGCATGAGGATATGTACAAAGTTTGTATGGGGGTTATGTACAAGGGTGCATATGGGGATATGTACAAGGGTGCATATGGGGATATGTACAAGCGTGTATGGGGATATGTACAAGAGTGTATGGAGACATGTACAAAGGTGTATGGGGACATGCATTTTACAAGGGTGTATGAGATATGTAAAAAGGTTACAGTATATGGGGGTTTTGAACAAGGGTGTATATGGGGTTATGTACAAGGATGCACAGGAGATACAAACAACGGTGGATGAGGGATACATAGCTGAGTGGTTGCCTGAGAGTGTATTGTTCCTACTTCTTGTGCTGTACACCCAGTTCAAACCCGGTCACTATTGGGTTTCAATTGGAGTTTGATCACTTGGCTCCTTAAATAACACTTATATTAAGGGTTAAGGACAATGTTTGTATCCGTTTTGTCATTTAAGTTGTAGTTAAGTTTAGTGGCGCTGTACTGTGACTGCTGTGGTTCCCTATTTATTTAATAAATAAAATTAAAATGAGGACCAATAAAGAATCATTATTACATGGATATATGAAAATATGTACAAAAGTATAAGGGTGTATGGGAGATATGTACAAGGATATACGGTATATATGTTCACTACAATGATTTATAGGGAAATGTTTATGAATGTATGTGTCGATCTATCTGAACAGTAGAATAAAGTACTGGGAAGGATACTTCGATTAAATGGAAACGATGAATTAGTGATGAGCAGAAAGAAAAAAAGATTGTCACCTATGGATTATCTAAAGTGCATTACTTTTTATGATACCTTTCCGCTGTATTACAAATTAACACCAATATTTACTCAGTTCAATTCAATCTTTAATCCTCTTATTTCATTACTAATACAATAACAATAGTTAACCTATCCATTTTTTATCATTAAACACATTTCTCTCCTATCCTGAATTACAAACCCTTCAATATTTCAGTCATTAAGGTGACATATTAAATTTTGATTGAAATAATTCTTTATGAATACAATGAATAATTCATATCTAATTGATCATTTTAAGTTACTATATGTAAGTTAAATCACAAGCTATAGGGGGTAGAATAGCCTTGTGGTTAATTTAAGCATATCATGAATAAATTAAATATTGTACAGTATGTCATAGTAAAACAGAATGTATATAGTTAGTAAATGCTTTCAATGATATTACTAAAAATTTTTGAAATTAGTTTGTACAGTAAGTAATACTTCGATACTTATTTCTTAATTGTTTAATCATCATTATTATAACGATTCAATTAAGTGAAATTCATGTTTTTTGCATGTAATATTCAATATAAAAAAATTTACATTATTTGTATTTAAATCTTTTTTATACCATACTTGTTTAATTAAATATTTTAGGTATTAATTATTAAAGAGAAAGAAAATTAACACATTTTATAAGAAAACTTATAATAGAAAAAAAATCTGTCAAAAGAAAAAAAAAAACGATTTGCGATAATGAATTTTATTACAGATCACTTGATGCATTAAAGGTGGTTAGTCAATGACAAAATTCAGAACATGTTCAAAATGTCTCGGTGCTTAAACTAATGCAATTCTTAATTCTAACTACGGAATTTGATATCAGAAAAAAATAACGAGAACACCTGATGCCAACGGAGAGCTATTAAACTATGCTAGACCGCACTGCTTACATGATTCAGAGAACATGTTACTTCTCACCGTTGTCACAACGATAATTGCAGCTATACTTGACGGACTGTTATGTCAGATTTTGATTTTCTATTTGATGTTGTTATTAAAGTTTGAGGGCAAGCATTAGGGCTGATGGCATTATTGCCTTCCCAGCGGTGTGATTGCCACGTTAATAACGAGTGCCGTATCCACCAGATCATTGAACACTAGTCGTTTATACCGACGCAAACATAAGGCTCATAGACACTTTAAAATATAAAAACAAACTTGTAGGAATTAAAGTTTAAAGGAAGGTCTTGGGGCAAATTTTTTTAAGCATTGTGAATGAAATATAAAGTATGACAAAAGAAATTATAAAATGTTCATGCTGATACCAACAAGAAAAAGTGCAATAATGAATAAATAATACTAATAACAGTAAGAAGAATAAACTCAATGATGATATACAAGTATTGCAAGTGCCATTTAAAAAGAATTTCTCTCCAACCCTGTCCAACATCAATCAAAATAATTTAAATGTTTTATTGTCACTGTAATTGTAAATGTTGGTAAAATAAATAAATGAAATACAGTGATAGCCATTAGCACATTTGTATGTACTATGATGACTGTGTATACATATTTATATACTTTATGTATTGTATGAGATGGCAAGCAAACAGTTTCCCTTAGAGGAATAATGCGGGCCCAGGGCCTACCCAACTTTATATCTGAACCTCAGCCGGCCCAAGTTCGCTCTGATTGCTAGATTTTGACGTCTTATCTAACCACAACTTTCATTCGAACTGACTTGCGATACAAAGCTTACGCATGGGCAGTTTGACAGATGACGACTTTCTTTTCTACAGTTAAAGAATTCCAGTAGATAAAAAATATATTGGCGTATTACAAGCTCAAGAAACCCCGTTTTTGTATAGCACACATTAATTTAACAAGTTTATATTCTAAAATTATAACACTGTATAGTGGTATCATTTTTTCTGTGAACGTCATCCTCACCAACCACGTGCGTTTTGTGTCGACGTTCGTGAAGCTACTCACGTGACCCCGAGGACAGAAAAAACATAATCGTTTGCTTTTGTTATGAGCGAAGCTGGTTCTAAAAAGCGTCAAAAATTGTTTGTGAATGAACCTAATATGAAAATAATTATTATTGCCAAATAGATAGATCTTGATGCTACTTATTCACAATCAGTGTCTCCGGTCTGTGGCCAAACATTGACAGCAATATAGGCCTATGTAGACAGTTTACAATATACAGGTATGGACTTTCGAAATCGCAAGTCTGGCTTTGCACAGAGAAAAGTCGAGCTGCGCTAATTATAGGCCTTGGTTATTATAAGAATTATCGTCGCCATAATCATGAAGCAGAATGCTATCCGCTTAAAAAATCGAAAAAGTATAAGGACAATTTTTGAAATTAGGTTCATGTTTCACGCGAATTCCATGTGTTTATGCTAGGTTGTGATTTACCGTTTCGCCATCAAAATGCGATCGCCTCAACTTCCTGTCCTGCAATTCATCGACCTGGCCCAAAAGAAGAACTGTGAAAGTCCGTAAGGCGGCCCTGAGCCGACTTAAAACAACTTAAAACAATAACTGTGAACGGAAATGAAGTTGAGTCGGCCCTAGGCCGGCCTAATAAGTGTGATTGGGCTCTTATTCTGGCTATTACACTGTATCATCTAAACAAATTTCCACATCTTTTTGTAAGGGCAGCAATTACTATTACAATAGAAGTAAAAAATAATAATTGAATTACTAATGAAAAAAGAAGCAATTTAATATGACTTTGATCAATGCATGTATAATTAAATTACTGATGTCATTATAACCATAAGGTAATGCAAATCATAACAATAGCATCAATCCTATTAAAATTAATAATAAAACAAAGTATAATTTAAAATAAAAAAAGACAAATTTTATAATAGCACTTAGATTAACAGTTACTATATATTCACAAAATGTTTCACATTAGGCCAAGAGTAATATTACGTAGTTTGCGTGACGATATGCAACGTAAAATGTAGGTCACTTCAGCTAAAAACAATGATTTGTTCACAAATATTAAGGGAGAAATAATTATGTAAAACTATGCGTATGTGCACCCTTAAGGACATTCAAGCTGCACCGACATTTCCCCCATGTCAGAATAAAAAAAATACTGGTTTCACCTGTAATAAAAAGAAGGGCCGTAACACAGACGAACATAAAACTTTTATGTCGCGAAAAAGCGACGTGTATGCTATCGTCAATCACTGGAAGTCAGCATAACATGACTTATAGTGTCCGGCAATATCCAAATTATTCTCTTTTCATAAAAAGAATATTCTGAATCCTCGGAAGAATTGCGAATAAAACTAGCTCTCTCCACATTGCCGGCACTGCCAAGAGAATATAACTTACGGCATGTGATGGTAAAATGGCAAATATGACACATTTTCAACTAATCGATCTACTATAACAATATTATTCAGTGTGCAACACATTTACCTTGGTAAATCATTCATGATGAAAAAGACTGGCTAAAATTTATATAGGGTACAAACAAAACCAAAGATACAATACACGATCATCAATATTCAATTAGTCTAAGATTAAATATGGCAGGGGTCTCAGGCCTCCTGAAAGCAGCGCGGGTCTCCTAGAAATCGGGAGAGTTGCCCGTACTCCTGCAATAATAACCATCTCCTGCAAATTCATAATATTTGCATGTTTTTAAGTCCATTTATTACCAACATTCTCGCGAAAGTCAGTGCCGATGGTTATGCGAGGCAAAACAAAATTGTTATTTTAGAAAGCTCATTTAAAAAGAACTCTCCCTGATATGGTATCGGGGCACAGCCAAATGAGGGAAGGTGGTAAAAAATTGGGATCCTGGTCCCTCCCCCACAAGTCAAATTCACAGAAAAGTTTAAAAATTATTTCTAGCGACTGATCGACTATGACCTGTCATGATCATGGTCTACAAAATGTTCTATGACATGACAGCATTCTCAATATCTATTTGCTATATA